ATCAATACACTGGAAATTAAACCTGATATAATTGAACCTCTCCAAAGGATGACTGTGCATCTTTAGAAAGCATTTATTCCAGTGGTGTACCTTTTATGCTCATAAGCTTCTCCATCTCATCTGTGTTTATTCGTTGAAGTCTTTAAAAGAAATCTTCCCGTCGAGGCCTCATCTACAGAGAGAACTCTGGCGGCCGGAAGTTTGGATGCTGCACAGCTATAAAGTACGCGGTGCTAGTGCTTAATATCTCAATGTTATATATTTCAAGGACTTAAGGAATGGAAATTATTATTTAGCAAATTCGCTTATACTTGATATAATCAAATATTTTTTAAATATATAATGTAAATAAAAAGATTGATCTAAACTCAAAATTTGAATTACTTGTATAATTTTTCTTCAAAATGGCCAATAACTGGTTTTTTTCTTTGGGTCTTGCAACTACATGTACATGTACAGCATGGTTTAAGGTGCATGTTCTATTTTACTACACTGCTGTGGTAAACTAGTACAAATTTGGAGATCAGGTGCAATGTTTTTAATTTTGCAATTTCAAGCCTTGCAGTGTTTTTACAAGTCCAACAATGTGTAAGCAGTGATCATCAAGTCTGTAACGAGGGAGATGATCTACTAAGGCGATAGGAATTTTCCTTAAAAAAAAAATATAATGTTTAATATGATTATTTTAATTAAAAAAAAATTATTATCCACGAGCTGTACGATGGTTTGTATAAACTCGCACCACACTGTTAAAGATATTTCACTTGCTAATGACGATTATCAGAAACTATGGTGAATATTATTCAGTTTTCTATTGATTTATTAAAACGTTGAGGAAAAAATACACTGCTTTATCTTTCAGTATGATCCGGTCAGAGTTCATTTTTCAATCTGCAGCGAATACGACGGCATTGACTTCCTCATGGATCGCCAGCATTTTGCAGCAATTCGTACCCTATTTTCAGGCTTTAACACTCGGATATTATGAATAAAACCCTGTGTGAAATAATTTAAACCCTTCTCGAACACTTTCTGGGATATATCTTTACTTCAATTTCTTTTACTTCAAATCTTTACTTACAGATATGATACCGATATCTTATCAGTAAATATATGACCAAATCTGTTGCCTGTGTAACGAGGAAAAGTGACCCCCGAGAATATTGACCAGGGATCATTTTTCTATGTAGAAATTTTACCCCCTTGTTAATATTCTACGTAGAAAATGACCCACGTTTTCGTAGAAATCATTTTTCTCCGTGTGGATTGTAGAAAAATGACACCGTAGAATAATGACCTTGTGTCATGTTTTGATAAAACATGGTTTTCTTAGGAAATTTTTGTTAGGCAAATACATAGGGGTCATTAAAATTACACAGTCTTAAGATATGAAGTGTTCATTTCTAAAAGCTTTAAAGTTTAAATAAAATTAAAATGTATTACTATACTTTACATAAATAATACAAGGTGGTTTATCTCTATTAAGGATTAAAGAAAAACATAACAAGGCTACAAATTTGGCTTTCCAGAAAGCCTGAAATGTCATCTCTTTGGCTTCATTAATGTCACAGAATAAACAGTGGAACATAACATTTTTTCATCAGCTATTACAGGCAGATGAACTTTTTTTCAAAAAAAGGGGGGGCACAGAATAAACAATGGAATGTAACTTTTTTTCTCTGCTATTAAAGGCAGAAGAATTTTTTTTTCAAAAAAAAGGAGGGGGTAGTCAGAAAAAAATATATAACTTACCTGAATAATCTTTGATTAAAAAAAAGGGGTGTTCAAGCTCGAAATTCTTATTTCGTGGATGGGGAGGGAAGATTTAAACTTTTTGACTTTCTCGAAAAAAAACATTGCTGGGGGGGGGGGTATAAATATACTGCAACAAAAACGCGGGGAAGGGGGAGGCAAGCTGCCTTTCAGTGAACATCTGCAACAGTAATCTCAAATATTTTTTGTATATGTGTTTAAAAAATGTAACCAATACTGTAAGCAGTATTCGTAAAATTTGTAAACAATTGTTATACAAGAAGATGGGTAAAACCTGAGCGTTCCTATTGACTTTATTTCACAGCAGCTTACTCGGACAACAGCCAAAAAGTTTAAAGTGCTAACTTGAATTAGTCCAATGTCATATAATGAGACTTCCCCCTATAGTAAGACTTCCCCCCGGAAGTCTGGCTATATATATAATAAGACCCCCCCCCCCCGGGGGAATTACTATATAGTGAGCCTTCCCCCCTAAACGACCATAGTGAGACTTCCCCCTTCCATGTTCAGTAGTATTTTATTTACATCGACGATGTATATATACTTACACTTTGATAATGATCTTATAAAATAGATACATGTATATACATATTTTCAAATTAATAAATATAAAAGTGCGCATTAAAAATTTATCCTGCACAGTAATTATTGAATTATTCCAAAATGATTCTTATCAAAAGAAATACATTTAACATTTAAGGTAGAGATTGATAGGTTGTCAACAAAAAAACTAACCATTGAAATTTTCTGAATTTTATATATGTTTGTTTTGAGTCTTTGTTCTAAATCATATTAAAAATTCAAGGTAGGTCATCGGGCTAGTTTAAAAGAAATTTGATAATTTTAATATAGCCTTCATCATCCACCGAAGAACTGAAAAAGCAGGGTAAAATAATATAAGAAGAAGATATGAAAAGGGCTATAAAATTTTTATTGATATATTAATTATCATTTGTCTCATATGAATTCAAACATCTGTCTATATGAATTAATATTTGACATCAATCTTAAAATTATCAAGCATTGTAAACGAAAAACAGAATTACATTCACAAAGATGCATGGTCAAATTACGTTAAAATATTGCCTATTCATTGCTCAAAGACTCACACTTCTGCTTCCACTGTGAAAAAATTACCCATCAAATTTCTTTTTTTATTGCATATTATAGTTAGTCAATAGGTATCTTAAATTTCAGAAAAAAATTATACTACATAATGGGGTTTAATTTCAACCTGGCGCAAGTTTATTATCTTACACCCTACCCTACCCCCTTCCTTTACAAAGGATGCACTATTGAAGAATATGGTGACTAAGAGAGATTATCAAAGAATTCATCAAAATATTTCACAGAAAATGAGTAAATTTTTTGTAATATTCTTCTAAATTACATTTTATATCACAAAAGCAAATATTTATACATCCTAGACACATATTGCCCTGGTTGACCTTTTTGCACTTACATTCGAACAGATATGAACTTTCCTTTATATCGTTAAAATTGACTTTGATAGATTTATTATACATACAATTCTTGGATGAATTATCAATGACAATATCTTTTGACCAATTCTGTGCATAAATAAACTGGTCGTTTAATCTTCCTTTGACAATTAGTATTAATTTCACTTTCCTTTAACAATTCCTTTTTCATTCCAAATACATGTATAACATGTATAAGAATACCCAGTGATTATGAAGTTTTGTAAACAGAATCAATCCACAGTATGTTATCCTTGTTTTAAAGATATTCAAATAAAAGCATTAGTTATGTGTTTCACTGTTTAATGAAGACTGCCTGGTCATCAGTAGTCAGATATTAATACACTAAAGCATCACATGGTAAAAAGTGCAGGGGAATAGAGTGATTCGGTTATCATTACATACATACAAAAATAGTGTAATAATTTATGTAAGAACATATAATCTATTAAGGTAATAATTTGTAACTTTAAAGTATAGATTTTATGCACACAGGTTCATAAAAGTTAGAGGAATCCCACCATAAACTGTATATGATGGTGTACAACTTTTAAACTCGGGATGTAATTCAACAAAATAAAGTGAATACATTCAATAATATGTAAGTTTTTCTTGAAGTCCAAACTCCTCAAGTAATTTCAAGAAAATTGTAATGTCATTTGATACAACATTATGACCTGCAACAAGAAAAGGATGGTTTGATTTAAGAAAATCTAAGAAATATAACAATGCTTGATGAATGTTGATGCTACATGTACATGTATTACCATTAAGATTCATTTGGAAAAGTAAGATAAACTTGTTATTTTGCTAGCTGTAGTTTTTTGGCTTATTGGCTGACGAAGATCAATGTACACATGCATGAATCTTTAATTGCCATCATATGCATCCAGTTGTGTCATGTTCAAGGAACCGGACAATTCTGTTGATTCTATGTCAATACAACAAAGGTGTTCTTTTCAGAAGGAGCTGCAATTAGCGGAATTCATTCTGTTTATTCAGATTTTGAAGCACATATCTAATGGGTGGGATATGTCTGTTTCCTCTTTACTGTATCCTTCTGGTAGATCTTTTTCTGAAATGAACAAATTATTTTAATATTTAAAGAACTAAAATACATGTATTACTTCTTTCTTACACTGCAAACATGGTATGACTATGTCTATGTTATGAATATAAGACATTTCTGACTGGGTTAATGAAGTGTCTAAATCAAAAAAAAAAAAAATTGGTGTATATAGATAAAGATTAAATATTCTAGTTTCTCAATGTAGGTCACACTCTAAGGCCAAGATCATGGGGTTAAAAAAAGAAATAAACATGTGAAATACAGAGACCCAGCAATAATTGTTTAAGAGTTAAGGCCAAAGGATAAAGTTTTTGTGGAAAAAACACTACATGTACCTGTCAATGAAACATCTTCAATGTAAAACAATACATACAGCAACTAGCAACATGCTGTATGTGTACTTAAAAAAGCGGGCTTCATATTTTAGCAGCTTTGGCACAAAAACGATGTGCTAATTCAAGAATACTGCTAAGAAATCATTTATAAATACAATATACAGCAGGGACATATATAGCTTGAATTCATGATTTTGCCAAAAATTCCACACCCAGTAACTGCACTAAATTTTAAATACGCCAATTTATGTACACATACAGTAACTATTGTAAGGGGAATTAAAATACATTTTTTACATCATTCTTATTCCTTGGTTTTTAATCCAGTCTTGTCCTAATTACCTTATTGACATAATTCCAATATTCTTTTGTAACACTGCATATGACACTTGATTATATAGCCAAGGATCATGTATGTCCATAAGATCTGTAACATGAAGAAAAGACAATAAAAATTAAAGTAGATAGCTTGATCTATTTAAAAGATATTGTAGAATTTATTAACAAATCTGATTTAATTTGTAAATTTAATTTTTTGTAAATTTAGGTACGATAATGTGAAGAAGTCAGTATGTACATGTATTGTTAAAAAACCATGTCTCATAAGTTTTTTAACAATACTGACTTCTTCAGATTATCATACCAATTCTTTGGTGTTATAGTTGAAACAATCTCATTTCAAGTTAGAAGACATCTTTACATTTTATAATTTTTGGTTTCATGTATTCAGTTTTTAATTCAATTTACTATGTGTTTTTTTTTTTTGTATGTCTATACACAAGCATTTACCGGTACATGTATTTAAGTCAATAGAGCACCTGACTAGTGATGCAGGGGTCCCAGGTTAGAATCTCGGTCCAGCCATACATTTTCCTCTTTCCTGTCACACATGTATGCTACTTTATGTACAGTTACTGTAGCAGATCTGTCTTGAATTTTCCTGAAATATGTATATGAACTTTGAAAAATTATTTACTTGAGAAAATGCTTCTACATGTATACAATAGTTTGTACATTATGGTGTGTAACTTAAGAATATAAGGACTAAAAATTTGAAATTTAATAAATTTATAATATTATAAAACACCTCCTTTTTACCCCCCCCCCCCTCCCCCCTCCCTTATTGGAAAAATTTCTGGATTTTCCCTGATACATGTGAAAGTGTAAATTGAAAGGAAAAAACAGGAGAGGAAACAAATTAAGCTTTAAATACAAACCAATGGCTACTTTGAAGTTAATGTAAAAAGCACTCTTGATATTCCTCTTTCCAGCTGACACTTGATTTGAATGGCCACATTATTTCCGCAGAGAATGCTGAATACACTGCCTTAGCCTACTCCATATTTTGCTTCACCTGTAGTATTTAATATTTCTTTTAGTATTTATAATATCTGTTTATAATCAGGGCCCCTTTGAGCATACAGAAAATACATACATAATTTATTACATGTGCATAATTATTACATAAACTTGCATTTATTTAAAAAGCTTTTGAATACAGCACCATTTAAACTGTAATTTATCAGCTATGCATATGGTTCATAAGTTAACATGTAAAATAATATACAGTGTTAAGTATTAAACAGGTCCAGTACAATCAGTACATTTATCTTCATAGGTAGAATTACCTACAGACGGTTACTGTAACTTTATTTTGCTACTTTGGGTAGCTTTAAGTAAGTAAGTAAGTAAATGGTTTATTATAGTGACATGTGTTATGTACAATTACAACAAATGTCAACAGATATACATATATAATAGGAATTTAAACACCCGGCCCATCGGGCCTATATGTCACTTTTTAACAATATAACATTCAATAAGAATACTGTGATATTACGCATTGCGTTTATTATAAATAATAGACTGTCTGTAAGTATATGCTGAGTATATGAATTTTCCGATTTGTCTTGGGAAATTTACTAAAAGAAATTTGGTTTTGTCTAAATCTGACATATTTATATCAAATGAAGTTGGTTTAAATCCAATACTGGTAAAAAAGATTGCTCTATTTAGCTATTTCAATGCAACTTTTTACAAATTTGCTTTTTTATTTCAATAAGACAAAAGATCTAGAATTGCAAGTAAATGTCCACTATTATTTATACAAGGGATTAATATTTAAAAAGCGACCCAAAGCAGAGAAAGTTTACACATTTCTGTGTTTGAACGCTTTAAGCAAAATATGTATTTCTATTGTTTTAGTAACTATACACAACCTGGTGTGCGTTTAGCTTAGAAAAGTATGATTACTTCACATTGTGCTAAATAATTACATGTACCAATCCGGCCTTTATCATGTTCACCAGAAATGTCTGGTCTTGTTATTTCATTCAAGAAGTAAGAGTCTGGTCATAAAATAAGTTTGACTTTGTAGCTAAATAAAACTACTTTAGTTAGGTAAATAAACCTATGTAGGTAATTCAAGCTATGTAGCTAAATCCAGTGATTGTACCAGACCTGTACGTTATGTAAAGGGGAAAAATATTTGTATATAGAATGTATATATATTACGTAATAGACGCTATCCGTAAATCGGCAGCTACCCGGTAGCTGCCGTGTATTAGCAGCTCCAGAGGAGCTGCCCCTAAAATGTATATATAGGGCGTGCACACGTGAGTGAGTGACAGAGTTAGTTACGGAGTTACAGAGTTGTGAGTTAGATATTATGTTGTACTTGTGATTAATAGAAACATGTAATAAACTTATAAACTGATTACTGGAATTTTTACTTTACGCTACCAAAGGAGGAAAAACATAATTATAAATTCATATGGGATATTGAGGATTTTAATAAAGTGTAAAGAGGATTTGAAATAGCAAAAAGGACCGCACGCTCGGTCCCGCTACAGTTAAACAATTGTTAAACAAACATGCACCATAGTCGTAATATTCACCTGATGTATCTGAAACGAACACTGCAAACAAAACATTTGTTCTGCAAAAATTTTTACTTCTTCCATCATACCAATTAACATCTGCAGGGTCATGGCCTTTCATCAGTTAATGTCTATATTCAAAACCACATCAGACACCTATACCGGCATCCACGTGGCCGCGTGGTGCTTCAGTCGACAATGAGTAGTTTCACCAAAATTATGTTCATGGTCGGTTTCAGTCTCATTTTCATTTCGATTCTTATTAAGGTGCTTCAATTTCGAGGACCGTCAAGATTAAATATGTATGGAAACTTTGTCTTTTAAACGATGAAATTTTCTCGACTGCTTCGTCGGCCATCTTGTAGCATAGACAATAATGTGTAAATGAAGATTATTATTTGGCGGCGTTCCGGAATCCGGAAAAACAGCACGTGTTAATATGCGGATCTATCACGTGATTGCTATCCGTCTCTACCTTAAGAGATCATTACTCGTGGACTCTTGGAATTTGCCTATATTAACCTGCATGGAGAATGCAATAAATACAGTATATTAAAGAAAGATGTATACTTGTAACAATAACGTACATACGTACATTTTTCATTCAGTTACCTCACATCAATACATGTACATGTCATCCCAAAATTATTTTTGGCTAACAAACTGTTAAAAGGCTATTAAGATGTTTAATTATTAATTAACGGAGAACTTTTATTCATATACTGAAAACGTTTGTATAGAAAAATATTGTTTTACAATGAAAAAAATATTCCGGAAACTACATTTGTGGGGAAGTCTACAAAAGGGGGAGAGACTGGCTATATAGTGAGACTTCCCCGGGAGAAGTCTCACTCTATACATGGCCGTAGGAACCGGGGGCACTTGGGGCCGTGCCCCCCCCCCCAATAATTTTGCCGATATATATAATACTATAGAAAACATAGCTGCTATATGCTTGTGCCCCCTTAATGATAATGTCTGATGACCTTTTTTTGTTTGTTAGTTTTGCTTGTCAAGGAATTTTGGTAGTTCAAAGTGCCCCTCCCCCAACTGAAAATGTATGGTTGTGCCCCCTCAAAGTGTAATCGTTTCCTACGGGCCTGCTATTGCCAGCCAATCTTCCCGGGGGGGGGGGGGGGTCTCACTATCTCACTATATAGCCAGTCTTCCCGAAATAACCCTCACATGCATTTAAATAAAGGTCAGTAATAAAATTTAAACGTTACAAGCTAAAATTAGGCATTTACAAATTATCTGAAAGAGTACCAGTTTACCAACCCTGATATTTAGGTTGTTCAAGAAAACATTCATTTTATATAATAATGTTGGATTTATTTCAAGAATAAGAGAGGTGATTTGATAGCTTTTTTGCCAATAACCAATAATGCAATTGAAAATTACAAAAAGAGAATGATTGCAGGTGCGCATGCTTTAATTATAAATTCTCAAAATACCCGCCGGGTAAAGATATTGCGTCTTTTATACAGAGGTAACAATATTGTATTTCTGATGTTTATTTTTTATAGAACAAAAATTAAAAAAAAAAAAAAAAAAGAATAGTGCAGACATGCGTGAAAACTCACAATGATTATAATCTTTCTTCCAATGCCTGTAGTTTCTTAAACCAGAAATATTTTTGTCTCTGCCTAACTTGTGTTTTTATTTCAAGTTCTGTTTTTTTTTCCTTGGATATAACATTCGCTGTTTGTTTAAAAAAATATTTAAAAATGGCATCAAGTTATTGAATGACTAAGGTACGCATAAAGGTAAAATTTTCGACATCAATTCACAACAGATGTATTTAAACTTTTAATGCGAGTATTTACTTTGATTTCATTTTTCTGTAAATTCTTGGATCCACGCCTTGGCTGATCTAATCGATGCCATGTAAAGTGTATTTTTATACACACGGCCTAGATAACTGCATGTTATTCATGTTATTTCAAGACCCGCCACTTTGTTTTTCTGTAAATACAGACCTTGGCCGTTCTAATCGATGCCATGTTTAGTGCATTACACACGCGCTGACCATCATTAGGTACATGTAACTGCATGTATTTTGAAGACCGACCACTACCCAAGCGATTCTGTCTCTGTGACTCTCTATGGTGGGACTTCATTTGTCAAACCGGCGTACGCCGAATGCGCCGCTTGACCTTTGGTAACCCGGCTTGTTGCTTTATTTGACCGGGGAAGGTTCGCCGGCGTACGCCGATCTCGCCGGTCTGAAATGACCGGCGAGCAATTCGCCGGTCTTAGAAATATGGCGGGAAGATAAAACAACTTATAAAATGAGGATACTTTTTACCAATTCGGCATATTCTTTAATTGTTTACTTTTCTTGAACAAATCTCCATTCGTGTATTTAAAATCCGTTCTTATTTTCTACAAATAATTTTTTTCATCAATTCCATGACTTTTTTAAACATTAAATTTCTAATTATCCAACCTTTTTTTCGCTAAGACATAACGTAAAAAGTGATAGATCTTAATTAATTGATTGTTATATAGTATAATTATTTTTTGTTTTCGCCGGTTTACTTCATTTGCCAGTTAGCCGTTTTACGCCGATCATATGACCGGCGCAATTCGGCGTACGCCGATCTGTGACAAATGAAGTCGGCCCTATGTTTTATGTGTAGTTTTTCTTTTCTAAGATGACCTGTACCTGTTTGACCATAGGCGCTCCCCATGTAAGTTTGTAGATGACGAAATCAACGTTGATTTTATAGTAAAAGATCGAGGGGTAGACCTATGTAGACTATCATTTCGTCATCTACAAACTTACATGGGGAGCGCCTATGTGTTTGACAGATCGTCCATTCTTTGTCATTGAGCAGTTTTGTTTACATCTCTATATTTAGAAATCGTGTCATTTGCCAGACCACCAGCTTATCAATGGCAGCTTACACTGGGACTTCATATCCGGGTAACAAACTTAATGTGTCATCTCTCGAGAGAGATGACAATAATTATGTTCTTTGACTATTAGAACAA